GTTTTAATTTTTCTGGACTCCTTTTTAATGGTTAAATTACATTTTATTAATCAAAAAGCATGTCTAATTAATTAAAATCATGAAACTTAAACAATTTAACATCAATTTATTAAAAGTTTAACAAAAATGACGTTTAGGGCCCTATGAAATGTTTTATTTTTTCCAACCTTATGTTTTATTGTTACAAATTCTGTGTTTTAACATGTCTAATTATTTGAAAGCATAAAAACAAGTTTCATTTATTCTTACAATAGCCTTATGATTTTTTCCCTCAGAAATTCTGTGTTGTGTATTTAAATTTTTTAAGGCATAAAACAGTCATTTAATTTATCTTTGAATTAATGAAAATTAAAACATTTTATTTTTTTGGAAAATAAAGGGGATTTAGTATTACAATTAAAACACTGAAGAAATATTGTATGATTATTCCTTAAAAATAAGGTTTTAATAATTTTAGTAGTAGCCTGTTACGTACATTCTACTGAACAATAGTAATATATTTCTGCCGCAATGTCTTCAAGGTAAACCGAACTTTTATTTTGGGGACACTGCACTCTATAAACAAAACATCTTTTCATACTTCTGTGAATGGTTCACATACAACTCATGAAGTTCTAAGCATACCTTAACATTTTTACCTATTGTGGAAGAATAGCTGATTGTAACGATCACAAACAAACATATTGTGAGATTAATGTATCCCTCAATCTTACAAAGTGATGTCTAACGTGATCTGTCTTTTTCCTCATTAGGCACGGTGTGACGCATCATCATTTGAGAGCGTCCGCTGTACGTTCTGTGTGGATTCGGGAGTTTGGTACTATGAAGTCACGGTCATCACCTCTGGCGTCATGCAAATTGGCTGGGCAACCAAGGACAGCAAGTTTCTTAACCATGTGTGTTTCTGGTTATGTTTAGATAATTATGCTTTCTTTTATTTTAGTTGTATGTTCTTATATTTACATGAAGTGTACAGTGTTTATGTGAATCAACTTGAGTTTTAGTAGTGAGAACATGTTTGTTTGTTTGTTTGTTTGTTTGTACAGGAGGGTTATGGGATTGGAGATGATGAGTACTCATGTGCATATGATGGCTGCAGGCAGCTGATCTGGTACAACGCTCGCAGTAAACCTCACTCCCATCCCTGCTGGAAAGAAGGTTTGTGCAGAGCATCCTGTTCAGCACCCAAGTTCCTCAATGATTTGATGAGTTCCTATTTAGTGAATGTAATCATTTTAGGGAAAACTTTAGCAAAGTTTTCTAATAAGTGTTCACTGGGCTTTCTAGGTGATGCCATAGGCTTCCTGCTGGACCTCAGTAAGAAGCAGATGATTTTCTATCTAAACGGACACCAGCTGCCTCCTGAGAAGCAGGTGTTCTCCTCCGCCACGTAAGCAAAGCTCACTTCCTACACCGTAAAGCAAATGCAAAAAAATTTTCATGGAGCTTTTTGAAACTTGCTGTACCTTGTCTTAGGTCTGGCTTCTTCGCTGCAGCCAGTTTTATGTCCTACCAACAGTGTGAGTTCAACTTTGGAGCCAAGCCCTTCCGCCATCCCCCCTCCATCAAATTCAACACATTTAATGAGTTTGCCTCGCTCGCATCAGACGAGAAAATCATTCTGCCCAGGTTTGCACTGTTTATTAGATTTCTGTACACAGGGCAAAGTATCAATGACTGTTATGTGGATGTGAGTAATGCATTAGTTATCCTAAAGTAAGTGACTCATACCATTCATGCACATGAAATTGTTCTTTCTCTGTCTTATTATTTCAGACACAGGCGCCTGGCTTTGCTCAAGCAGGTTAGCATCAGAGATAACTGCTGCACCCTCTGTTGTGACCAGATGGCAGACACTGAACTGAGACCCTGTTTGCACAGGTACAAAGTTCAACATAGAGAGTCAGTGTTTACAACACTGGGTTTATGGGTAAAGGGATGTGATGGAGTCTCAAGAAAGCAGGATTGATGTGCTTGGATGAATTGGAGTACATAAGAACAACTGTTGCTTTGAGAGTTAAGACATTTAAAACATATTTGACATTTTTATACTATATTTAACCCTTATGTGTTTAGCAAAAATGTGCAAAGTAAGATAATAAAACAGTTAAGAATTTCATTGCAGTGTGTTATAAATTAATCTCATAGTAACATGATATTTATTGTTATATTGCCTTTCACAGTGGCAAGTAGCCAATCATTGTTCATTAACTGTGACATAAGAAGCCTACAAAGTGCAACAGTTGGGTTCCGGAAGTAAAAATCCTATTCATTTTCTTTAGGGGAATTGATTTTGGTTCATGGCGTACTGTATAAATCTTTAACAAAGACTTTTTAAATCCCTGTTGAAAAAATGAATGGGAAAAATAAAAAAATAAAAGAAGTGAGCATGTGCAATGATATAATGGTACTGTGCATCCCTAATAATATGTCCCTCCATGGGGCATTTAAACCTATTGTTGATTACGGTTACATCATCTCTTTGTGCTGAACAATGTAGTCATCTTCTGCTTCTCTGTCATGTCTTCAGTGGGATTTGCATGGAGTGTGCCTTACAGCTGGAAACGTGCCCACTGTGTCGCCAAGACATCCAGACACGAGTCAGACTAATTTCCCATGTGTCCTGACATCAGCCCACCAACCCTAGATGTGGACTATCCCCTTCAAGCTTCCATCCTGTCCAGTCCCCACTGTCTGAGAGATCAACCTGACCAATCAAATCATGATGCTGTCTCAGGATTGGACGCGGCAGCGTGGACCTCTGACGGATGGAGTAGACCCTCCTTACAAATGGAGGGAAGAAGAGAGAGAAAGTAGAGAAAGAGAGAGAAAACTATACTGTTGCACTCCAAGGATGCCCCAATCCGAGGGCTATTGAAGAAACCAGGAGGTTTAACGGCTTCTTACCAGGAGGTTTAACGGAATTTTTAATCTGCATTTCCAGGAACAGATAAAATATGGAACAAATGCATCTATTGCATACTGATCTGTCTTTGAGTCTCTCCCCTCAAGCTCTGGTCTGCTGTGTGTCGCTGTTCAGATGTGTTAAATATATATGTGACTTCTCTCTTTTTTTTTTTTATTCCAAGTTAAAGTCTCAGCAGGAAACGGCAGCAGTGTCTTAACCACTTTGTTTCCTCTAAATGTTCATGTCTGCCTCAGAAAACCCATTATTCCGCTCCCTCAGACTTGATTGTACTTGAATCTGTTCTGGGTTGATTGCCCCACATTCTAAATATGATTGCAAAACGTCTTGATGAATCAAGACACTGTGATTTTTTTTTTTTTTTTTAAACAGTATTTTTATTGATGTATGATGCAAAGTCCATTTAGAAATAACCCAAGCCAAATTATGTTAGGTAAAATGACAAAATTGAGTGAGAATTGATTCTATCAGAGTAAAAGGCATCCCTTAAATGCGGTTTGGGGAAATGTCATGTGTTTTCTGCCCTGGTTAATGCACATATCAGTGTCCTAATGCTGCTGACGCTAAATGTGAACTTTCTGAAGTAGTTACAGAGACTAAAATCTCCAACGCTCCCAAAGATAAGAGACTATGATTGAATTAAGAATCTTTCATTTTCTGAATTGTGATGTTTGTAATAAATGTCTGTTTTATGTGTTGCACAGGCTTTGTTATCTTTAACATTTACTCCTTTCAGCTGTGATTTGCATGAATTCCAAAATCCAAATGCGCCCAAGAGTTAAATGGAAACTATAGTGATCTGTTGAGAATTGCGTTTTTGACTGAACAATGCCTCATAGCCCCTAGCATGCTCACATAACTTCCGTCTTCACATAATTTAACCTAATAACCTCAAGACTGTAAAAATAAGGTAATGACGACTTCTTTTTATACATCCTTGTGAGACTTTAAAGCCACAACTGTGAGATAAAGTTGCAGTAACAGAATATAAAACTACAGTTGTGTCATATAGATCTTGTAATTGAAGCTTAATATCTCACAATTGTGACTTTCTGGTTCACAAAAAGGTTATTGTAAACTCTCAAAATAAGCTTTTTTTCCCCACTCTGAGGCAGATACAAATGGGTAGCAATAACAAAAACATAAGTCACATAGTCATATATATTGTATGTACCGGTATGTGTATATGTATGGGTGGGTAGAGAACGTCGTTGGTGTCGCCGTTTGTCTTCCTGTCCGTTAGGAGGCTCCACACGCTTCCTCAAATAATACACTTGTTCTTCGAAAGGAAGTCAGATCGAGTGTGTTGCAAGTCTTTTGCAGGAATCCTTTAGCAGTAACTCGAATTAATCACTATTATCCATAATTTTTTAAATCTAAAAATAGTCTTAGTATGTACTGATCTAGTCAGAGATGAAATAACGTATCAGCAAATTCATCGATTTATCGCGATTCATAGAGCAGCAGGACTATAACTGAATATCTACGCAGGTAAGATGGGCTTCGCATCAGATTTAGTGTTTTCATAAAAATTTGACAAATGTCGCAAATATTAAACGTTTTAACAATAGACCTTAGTTTAAAAAAAATATATAAAAATAAATAATAGTTGAGTAACGTTACATGCAGGATTTTCTGGGCAACCAAAACTTAATTGCATTGTGTCCTGCGATATTGTAATTTAAGATATTTTAAATAATGTTTGTTACGCCGTTCATTTAGAAAAAAATAAAATGTCGTGGTCGAAGAAAGCTGGGGGCAGACGACCACCACCAAAACACAGTGGAGGAAGGTATGTGAGACATCTGTATAGTGGCTGCTGTGAGCTACTGCATAAATATGTTCAGAATTAATATGACGATTTCAAGCTAGGCAACTCACTAGATTTAAACCCACAACCTACGTTTTATATTTCTGGTGTTATGTTGATCATAATCATGTAATTTGCTCCATGCAGTGTCTCAAAACCTCCCAGACCATTTCGAAGAACACCATATCCAATGAGGGAGGACAGAAAAGATGATCATCCAGAATCTGACAGGCACGTTGAATATGACAGAAGAGAAAAATTTGATTTATGTAGTTGACAGTGCAATACTACTGATCTTTTCCTGGCTTTAAGTCTTTATTTTTCACATATCTGTGAAAAGATTCTCTCTTCTTCTTCTTCTTTTAAAATCTAAACACCTTTTCCTACCAATCTTCCTTCAATTTTCAGCTTTGAAAGCTTAGATGAAGGGATTGACTACTCTAGCACTGCAGACTATGAGCATTCACCACATCAGTCAACTGGTATGATTTTTCATGTAATAAACAACGTGGTTTCTCACTGCTGCTGTTGTGGTCATTATGAGAACTTTTTCATGTAAATGTGTTTGTAACAGCTGTTTCACCTGAAGAATATGAGGCAACAGTTCAACACAATGCCATATACGAGAGGTTCTTCCAGCAGCTGCATGGAGATGGTGCTAGACAGCCTGCAGACTGTGTTGTCTTGTCGGTGAACAACCAGAATGTGTAAGTATACTCTGCAGGTAGCAGTCAAATTCTGTTGCAGTAAATGTTTTTATTGTGTGAAACTTGCTTTCTGTTTTAAACTATCCTCCAAACTATTCCAGAGTTTGCACTTACTGAAAATATGGGACTTGTTTACCTACATTTTGTGCAATGCTGTTAGTTTTTTTTTTTCTTTCTCTGTTGTGTGAATGTGCTTCGTTATTGTTAAATGTTAGGCTGATGGGATTCATCAGGGTTAAGATCTGGAATCCGTATGTATCCAGAATCATCCTTGATGGTTAACAAAAAAAAAATTCTGGTGGATATTTTATTATTATAAATCATCCAAAAACTTAAAATGTGCCTTCAAGTAAAAGAACAACAACAACAAACTTCCTGTATTTTAAATGTTCACTACTATTTAACAAAAGTCTCTGGAATGCTCTTATTCTTTACATTTCACTGTCAGTTTAAAAAAAAAAATAAATTAATAATTTTAATTAACTTATTACTATTTTACACTGCGAATCCAAAAACACTAAACATGATACATCAATCAATAACTGTTAAAATTAATCTTTGAATGCAACATTTTGGCTAACTCTAGATGTTGTCTCCAAAAGAAGTTCATAAAAAATAGTGCAAATCTAGAAAAAAAGTCAATATGTATGTTGTGTAAATTATATTTATCCAACAAATCAAATGCAAATGTTTACGCCCATGTGTTGCATTCAACATGGTGGTCTTTAGAGACCTGCCTCCAATGATCTAAAGTTTAATTTTAAACATTTTCATTTAACTTTTATAATCTAAGTTTTCTATTCCACATATCTAAAAAAAAAAGAGATAATAAAAATACATGTAAAATGTTACCCTAAATGTTGAATACACATTTTCAAAATTTGTTTGGTCTCAAAGAGTAAAAGAGTGTTTTTTATTTATTTGTATTGTGTGTTTTCACTCTCCAACAAAAACGTTCACTGAAATATGTCCAGAAATCATCATATTTAAAAAAAACTGAAATCACTTTAATCACATTCCTTGTTTATTTAGCCAAATAGCTTCTTTAAGAAGATATTCAAAATGTCCAGTAATCTAAGCCATATTTCTAAACAAAACAAAATGAAACAAAAACACAATCTATGAAAACATGAAAAACACAAACAATGCTATTATCAAAAAGTGAATGCAACTTTGAAATTGAACGTTTCTAAAATTCCTTGACTGGAAACACGTACCTCTGTTTTTATTAATACACAATGAATATGACACAAACAAAACAGACCGTCCCATTTTTGCCATCCAATAATAGATCTTGGCTTAAATGTGTTTGATAGAAGTGTTTCACATTTTATTAAGATCCATTTTACAATGTTTTAATTTACAAAGTTTTTGGTAAAACATTAATATATATATATTTTATAATATCTGTTCACTATTAAATTTGTGTAAAGTTATGCTATTAATATTAAACTAACTTTTTGCATCATGTTTAAGCTTAATATTTATCACTTTTTATGTTCTTCAAAGCCTGATGACTCGCACCCTAGCATTTATTTGGCTAAAACAAATGAAACAACTTAATTTTCAACTATTTTCTAATATGTAATACACTTTTAAAATGCTATTTATGTTGGTTTATTGATTTGTGTGGCACATTAAAACTTTACCCTTTCATTGCTGCATATATTAACGGGACCACACCCAAGACCCTCACCTCCTGCCCTGAAGCATGGTGCTCAATAACCAGATCTCTTCTTCTTCTTTCAAAGGGATTACCCCAAATCGATAGGCCAGTGTTTGCAGGAACGTGGCCTCTCGGTGGAAATGCTTTACCTGCAGGTGGAATCAGGCCTGACGCGGGCCCTCCAAGATGTCCGCTCCGACGGTTCCCCCTTATGTATTCTCGTCGAGCAGACTAATGTAACACTCTCCTCGTGCACAGTAATCATATTTTCAGAGTCCCTCAAAAGTAAGTTCCGACTCCCACAATCGATCTCCCAATAAAACCAGTTTAAATTTACTTCAAACAACAGTGAAATAACCTTAAACAACCTTGACTTGGTGGTGGGCATTTTTACACTCTTTGCCATATAATGAACAACAAAACAATAATCAGTATTCTGTGATTACACTAAAAGACATACATTTATGTATTCTGAAAATGCACTTTCAAAACATTCAAAAACGTTCAGAACAGTCTAAAAAGAGAATTCATTTATTTATATTAACTGAAAAAAATATCAGATAATGACTCCAAGCTTTTGAATGGTATATAATGTAACTTACTTTTTATTTATATATAATAAGCATATATAATTAAAATGTAAGTTATATTTTAAATTATACAGATTTTATCATATATTTCTAAACATTATAACATTATATTTTTACTATCACTCTGTTCCTTTCCTCTCCAGTAACTTCCGCAGAGGTGGGCAGTAATGTTGCTCCTGTAATAAACAGCCTGCCTCCAGGGTTAGGAAAAATCAGTGTTATCTCAACATAGGACTTTGCAAAGAGGCTGTTGCTAAATATTGTGGCAGTAAAAAGCTACACTGGACTAGACAAAAAGCATACAACCTTTGTTTGTGTAGAAACATACTTTGACATGAAATGGTAATGAAAAGCTTTTTCTGGGATTTATTTACCAACATGTACAAAAAAAGGAAAGAAAAAATCTTTTTTTTTTTTTTACTGCATTGTGGGCACATCTATGTTTCACAAGTTTCCAAGATCTCAAAATTGACATGCCTCCAAATTAAACCGTATAATAGCTTGTAATTTTGAAACAAATTTTTTCTTTTCCATAAAAATAAACAGTTTTGAGTGGTCAGAATAAATTAGGCGTACTTTCTTTACAAAAAATGACATTATTATAATAGATTTGAGTACAAATGTTTTACCAGTCTATATATTTAAAAATGTTTGCACCGATACAGCCAAGCAAAAATGTATCAGTTGTAGTGCTTGACACAAAATCCAAAAACAAAAACAAACAAAAAAACATCTAAAAGATGGTGGGTTTGACCCTCCGCATAACATTAAAATAGATGAAATGCCCTCAAACAACAGACATGCTTTCATTTATTTCTTTTTTTAGTTTTTTTAAATCATTATTTAAATTAATGCCCACCATTTAATTAAAAAAACATTGTTAATATTAAAATAGTTTAATATAATTACTCAAGCTTTTATTCCTATAAAACGTCACCTTGCTGGTTAGTTTAAATTTTTTAAAAGCTGGAATACACTTTTTACACATTTTATAACACAAGGCATCAAATAGTTTCAGTTAACACAGAAAAACTGAACACACACTAAATGACTGAGTGTCACACACTACCAGACTTTCACGTCTAAAAAACAAACAAGCAAAACAACAACAAAACAAACTTAAGCAAAATCATAAGTCCTTTTTAAACATGATTAATTGAACTGTTACATTTTCTGAATGTAGTCATTTGCTATTACGCAATGTCATACATCAAAACTGAATTCATAAAAATACATATGAGTTATCTCATGCACAATGCCTTCCTCATATTAAAAACCTTTAAAAGCAATCTTATATTAACTTCTACTCTGCTAAATGTCCCTTCTCCCAACATTCAAGTGTGCTCATGAGTGTGTCCTTTGAGTGCATACTGAATTTTAATGTGGTAATTGGGTTAAGCAGTGGTTGCCAGACTGCAGCGTGTTGCTGATGAGGTAGAACTCTTGTGTGCACTGCTTAGACTGCAGCAGCTCACACTGAGCACCATATGCAAGCCCCTTCCCTCCTCTGGCTGACCCGTCCTCTGCCTCTCCACAGTTCATCGAAATATGCCCAAAGAACAGGCCTTGGAGTTTGTGTTGGTGGAGTTCAGGCGCTTGAGCGGTTCGCAGCGGGTGCTGGACCCCACGGAGGCTGCGGCACGGGCGGCTGAGCTGACGGAGGACTATCTGGTGCGCAGCAAGCTGGAGCGGCACACTGTTCCCTCTGCCACCCGCCACCTGCTCTTTCTCCTGGCCGAAGGTTTGCACCTGTACCCAGAGGAGCTCAACACACTGACAGAGTATCTTCAAAACCGCCAAGACCATCTGCAAGGTGAACATGCTTCTGTGTCCTGGCCTAGTTACATTCATATTGTGTTGTCTTTATATGTGTGTCTTAATTCTCAGCATTATTATACATTTTAATATGTGATATAATGACATATGACCTCAATATGTGATAATTACTTATGACCTCAAGTTAGATGCATTTATGATTGATAAAATGCAATGTGCACATTGTACATTGATCGATTTATTTTGTTTATTTATTATCAAATCTGTTAATTATACACATTACATATTCAGTTATTAGAATATGTAAACACACACACATATATATGTATATATATAAAATTACTATACACTACCAGTCAAAAGTTTTTAAACGCCACCAAGAGAGCAGGCAAACCCACCCTCAGGGTCAGGAGATACACCCCCAGGCCATCACAGGGGATTGCAAGGTTTGTTTTTGGGGCACAGGATAAAATACAAAAAATATATATACATATGTATATACTTGGGGTATCAATTTTTTACTTTAAGAAAAAATTATTTAGTAATTCACTTTTTAACCTGTTTATGATGCTCATTAATAAATTTAAATGCAGTATTCTCTGTGTTTCCAGGCTCATATCCCAAGACGAAACCACCTCCTTTGCTTTCAATGCAAAATCTAAAGCCACCTTCCCACAGATCAGCTGCCCCCCATAGTCTTTTACCCTCTCGGGCCTCTTCAGTCTCACACAGTTCTTCATTTAGTCCCCCATCTAGAGGGCCAGCAGCCCCTCATAGTCTTGACAAGCCACAACCTCTGCTTGGCCCAGCACCTACACATGGGCCAACGTCCACCCGTGCCCCTCTTCTTGATACGCCTCTTGGTTTCCCGTCCTCTAGAGGACTATTGCAGCATCCGGGGTCTCATTCATCACGCGGGCCACCATTGATATGTGGACCACCTACGCAGAATGGACCTCGGGGTCCTAGAGCACCACCACCTTCACTCAGGAGCCTTCATATGGGAGCCCCAACAGGTCAGCATCTTCTCATGAAGCCCACCACCCCCTCATAGTCTCGACAAGCCACAACCTCTTCTAGGCCTAGCACCTACACATGGGCCATCCTCCACCCGTGCCCCTCTTCTTGACCGTGCCCCTCTGCTTGAAACACCTCTTGGTTTCCCGTCTAGAGGACTGTTGCAGCATCCGGGGTCTCATTCATCACGCGGGCCACCATTGATATGTGGACCACCTACGCAGAATGGACCTCGGGGTCCTAGAGCACCACCACCTTCACTCAGGAGCCTTCATATGGGAGCCCCAACAGGTCAGCATCTTCTCATGAAGTTCTTGTTATGATGGCTATTTAGAGAACTATTGGTATGGAAGGATCTGTCACTAATTTATTTATTAGTTTTTTTGGTTCCTCTTGTTGAACCTTTTTTTTTTTGTCCATGTTCAGGTCCTCGCCCACCACGACGCCTGCTCCCTTGATTCTCTCAGGACACCTGATTAAATCATAGGCCAGTATTGCCACGTGGGACAGTTGTTAACATTTTGGACTTAGGCAGTTTTATGGTTTATATTTTTTAGGAATTTGACTTCTGTGTTTTCTTTCAGGATCCTATGAGATGTTTAAATATGTACTGGTATGGAAAAAAGCCTCAGTTGTGTTCTCTTTATTTCCACAGGTGTAAGCTAATTTTTAGAATAAATATGAAGATACAGATATATATAAATATCTGTGAGAGATGTCTTTAAATATCACTGTTCTCCGTACAACGATTGAATATATTCCAAATACAGTTTTTGGTGTGAGGCAATAATATGAGACTATTCTGAATTTTGGTAGATTGTAGAAGGTTCTTGATCTCCAGGAGCCAGAGATTTTTATTTTTTCTAATAATAAAAAAAAAAAGATAAAGTGCATAATGTTTTGAAATGCAGTTCTTCTCTTCTGCTCACCAAGCCTGCATTTATTTGATCCAAAATACATTATACATTTTATATTTTAAAATGTAATTAAGTTGGCTTGAAAAAGCCAACTTACTGATATTCTATTTAAGCTGCTTTTTCTTCTTCTTCTTAGACTAAAATTCTAAACGCTACTGCTCCTAGAGCTTTCAAGCTAGAACCACCCAACTCAGCCCAGCTCTTCAGACTGTTCTGACTCGGGTTGCTATATCTTTTCAGACTGATCGGATTTACGGTTTTCTTACGATTAAAAATCATAAAAATCCAATAGACTTACATTGACGGAATGTTAAAATGAGCCAAGACTATTCAAACTCCAACTGTCAAAAATTTAAATCTAAACACACTGAAGCCCATTAGGCTCAATCAAACTTCCCTTCTATGTGCTATTTCTAACCCATTTAAACTCATTTAAGCTTCCACTCTATCTAATATTTCTAATCTATCTAGCTGGTTGGCTAGATTTTTTTGGTTTTAAAGTGGTTTTGGCACCATTTTAGCTGGTCAGGCTGGTCTTAGCTGGTCAAGCTGGGAGACCTGCTAAAAGACATTTTTAAATTTCTAAGGTGTGAATCCAGCCCCTAAACTTAAACTGTTCTCCCTTCTTCACTGAATGCATACCCTTAATAGCTTAATAACTTTTCCAGATAGACACCACCCATCAATGTTTTTTTTTTGACTGGACACAAAATTCTGTGTATAATTCCATGTTTCTGAATGCAAATTTGCTATAAATTAAAATTGGATTGTGCCATCTGACTAGAATTTTCAGGTCATGCCACAAATTTTTGATTGGATTCAAGTCTTTATTCTTTGGAACGTTGTACCTGAACAAAGGGGTTGCTGTCTTTGGCTGGCTGATTCTGGCACCCTTCGTGGATTTTGGCTCCATCTGTGTTACCCTTGATGGCAACAAGTTTTTTGTTTCTCTTTGCCAGGAAAGAAACACCAGAGCAAGATGCTGCCACCACCATGCTTGACAATAGGGTTGAGGTTTCATAGATCATAAGATTGATTAGTACCAAACATAGATTTAATTTTAAATTGTAATTTAGTGATAATCTTCTCCACCAGTGAGCTTTTAACCACTGTGACTGGATCGATGAGTTAGTGAGCTGAACTCCAGAACCAGATCAGTAACATTCAGAAACAAATCATTCAGACCAGTTTTGTGAACTGGATCAATTGATTCATTGAAAAGATCTGACTCAAAAGAATTAGTCATTCTAAAATCGGATATCACAATTTTTTTTATATGCACCCTATGGCTTCAGAAATCTTCAGAAAACATGGCTTCCAACTGTCAAAAATTTAAATCTAAACACACTGAAGCCCATTAGGCTCAATCAAACTTCCCTTCTATGTGCTATTTCTAACCCATTTAAACTCATTTAAGCTTCCACTCTATCTAATATTTCTAATCTATCTAGCTGGTTGGCTAGATAATTCATTTTATTTTTTAATTGCAGTTTGAATAGCCAAGATATTATGCAAAAATTAACCTTTTGTGTCCACTGAAGAAAGTGAGGGTGAGTATATAAGAAACAGGTATTAGGTGAATTATTCCTTTGATATTATAAACCAGACACAGAAACAGGTGTGTGACTTAAGTACAGCATTAAAACAATCTGATTGTTACTCAGTATTATATAATGGTGAGGTTGAAAAATTTATCACAATGCTTATGAGTTTCTTCGTATGGGTGATTTAACTAGGGACATGTAACTATAACTCTGCTTATATTAACTCCTATTAACATTTTTTGGTTTTAAAGTGGTTTTGGCACCATTTTAGCTGGTCAGGCTGGTCTTAGCTGGTCAAGCTGGGAGACCTGCTAAAAGACCAACAAAGTTTATAACAGCTACTATAAGCTTAAACCAGCTAAGACTAGACAACTAGCCTAGGCTGGTTTTAAGCTGGTTTTTGACTGGTTCAGCTGTTTTTAGCTGGCCTTTTGCTAAATCAGCTGGTTTTAGCTGATTTTAACTGGTCTCTAGCTGTTTTTATTGAATCAGCTAGTTTTACCTTGTTTTTAGCTGGATTTTTTTCATTTACAATGTTAAATAACGTTAAAAACATACTAGCATCATGCCAATCATGCTAGAAACATGCTAACAATGTTAGCAACATGCTAGTCATGCTAGAAACATGCTAATAACTAGCTAATCATGCTAGCAACATGATAATCGTGCTAGAAACATGTTGGTAACTTGCTAATCATTCTATAAACATGCTAATAACATGTTAATTATGCTAACAACATGCTAATCAGGCTAGAATCATGCTAGTAACATGCTAATCATGTTAGCCACATTCTAGTCATGCTAGAAACATGCTTATAAGTTTCTTCGTATGGGTGATTTAACTAGGGACATGTAACTAACTCTGCTTATATTAACTCCTATTAACATTTGGTGGATGGAAACGAGAGACTCCTCTTGATCCCAACATCACAATCTACGAACATGAGAATGGAGTAATTTGGTTTGGAAAAATAAGTCACTTTATAAATCTAAACAGTGTCAGACAACATGCTAGTCATGCTAGAAACATGCTAATAACTAGCTAATCATGCTAGCAACATGATAATCGTGCTAGAAACATGTTGGTAACTTGCTAATCATTCTATAAACATGCTAATAACATGTTAATTATGCTAACAACATGCTAATCAGGCTAGAATCATGCTAGTAACATGCTAATCATGTTAGCCACATTCTAGTCATGCTAGAAACATGTTAATAACTTGCTAATCATGCTAGCAGCATGTTAGTAACATGC